GTAGCCTCCTAATCCGATAAGTTGAACTGCGTACTATATTCTAACCATGGTTGGATTAAGTATTGTAATAGTATGTAATGGGAAATTCGGGAATATGAACCACTCCCATTTCCCACATTTCCCAACCCGACCCATCCCTATGGGAGTAAACGGGAACTGCGGGAATTCCCAATTACTCCCTTTCCCACTGCGGGAATTGGGGATTGATCCCAATTCCCGACCCTATGCGGGATGGGAAGGGTTCGGGAACGGGAATTGCGGGTTGGGAATGACACTCTAGATGCCGCCTGTTGCCTTCTAATGTCTTGTTGAATTAGCACCCTTATATCCCATGACAAGAGGAAGTTCAAGTCTGTGAAGTGTAACGGCCAATGGTCAATGGTCGACCCGGCCCAGTTCCTCTGCAACAAGGCCGTGGACCTGCACAAGTATCTCGGCTCGGACACTTCAAAAGCGATTGACATTCAAGCCGAGCTACAGCAGCTGGCTGGAAACCCGGAACTTGGCGATGAATTACGGAACAATGACAGCACGGATAACCTTCAGAATGACTTGAATTTGTTGGAGAGAGCTAAGGTGGGATGAGAAGTTTTCTATGGACGCTGGTCGGTGGCTAGCTGATACTGAGCGATCAGAAAAGGCTGGACGATTTGCAAATGGAGATTCAGTCCGGGGAGTCTCTGCAGCAGTTGGAGAAATTTCTCGGTGTGTAATCTCTTTTTCTTTACATGATGAATTCGATCATGCTGATAAGGCTTTAAAAACAAGGTCAGTAAACCTCATCGTGGATGATCTTCAGAATCTCATTGACTATATCAAGCAGCATACGGATCTGGATGATAACCCTCTTGGGGGGTTAGTTGAGAAAAAGCTTCTCCAGAAATGGGCTGAGCTCGAGGATTATGGTAAGGCTCTCTCTGTTGAGGTGAATTGAACGAACACTTCGTTTAGTGACTCAGTTTAAGGATAAGTACATGAATGGAGACATGTAGCTGTAGCAGATATAGATAACTCTTTAGTAATTCATCCAATTGATTCATTCTTGATGACATATAAAAGCTCATTAATTATAGATTCTAGGAATTCTGTATTTATTCTAAAAAGCAGTGTTCTGCGTAGTTATCTTGGGTTAGAATTTATTGAATTAACCGATATGCCATAGTCGCCGTTGAGGGATCCGAGATTACATTATCACCGGTATCAACTTAGAGAATGCCGAGCCCAACAATTTCGAGGCCAGTAGTAGCATGTCACTGTCTTATATAGTTCTACATCTAAATTTTTGTTGGGTGACCGGGAGCGCAGAGCATTTCTTTCTGGCCACTTCGAAATCATATTAAATAGCCCTCGACCACCTTTAGATAACTTCTTCGTCCAGAATTGCTAAGGCACCGAAGCAACACCTTTTTTCTGTGAGATGACCAATGATAAGATCAACTTTTTATGCCGAAGATGAATACTAATCAAGTTAACATAGACCGAGACCCTCGAGTGACCGCTGAAGGGATGTTTGACGCCACTGGGTCCTTCCATGCACTATGGAACAATACTCATCTGACAATTGCCATCGCCCTCACCAGCTATATGACACTGGTTGGGCTTCTTCGGTACCGCCGTATGGCAAAGATTAAGGCCCCGTTCACCCCTGGCAAGAGACAATTATCGAGCATGACGGTCAAAGAAGCGCATGGAATTATGGCCCAGTTACAAGAGCTCGAGTTTCCATATGCTTTTTCCAAGGCTCGTCAAATTGCTCTACTTAAGGTACGTACATTAAACAGCACTGTGGAATTCAACTAAGTTTTATGTTTTGTTCAAAAAAAGGCCGGAGGTATCCCGACCATGTCCAAGCTTTTCGCAGTTACAGGCCAAAACAATAGGCGTAATGCAGGGAAGCGCGCTGTTGACACGGAAATCCTTCTACGAGAGGCGCAGTCCAAGCCCCGAGATTCTGATCGCTATGCGTCAGCCGTGGCGAGAATGAATTATCTGTATGTACAATGCCCTCCCTGGAGGCAAAGATAAGACGTCTTGTTTTGTTCACTGACCTTTAGCCCCATTAGCCATGACCGTTACCGTCATGCCAACAAAATAACCGATAATGATCTCCTCCATACTTTAGGTGATGGTCTCGCCGAGATCCTGAATGTCATTGAAAGAGAAGAATGGCGCAAGCTTACTGACGTTGAGAAATGTGCCCTCGGTATCTTTCACAAGAACTTGGGAGAGGATATGGGAATTCCGTTTGACCCGCTTCCTTCGAAAGAAAAAGGCTGGAAAGATGGCCTGCACTTCGCGATGGAACTGAGTGACTGGACAGTCCACTATGAAGAAGAAGTCGCAAAGCCGACGGCAACGAACGATCAGTACGTCAGAGTCTATGTTGATTCGGCGGTTTCTTCGCTTCCTAGCTTCATCAGAACAACTGTGCGACAGATTCTGGGTGCTGACTTGGACAATGTCATGAGGATAAGCCTTTGGTAAGCCCCGTACCCCATTTTGAAGATGATCCGAAAAGACCATTGCTCACATCCCTAGCCTTGAGTCTCCTGGCCCAATCCTCTCCCTCATACTGGCCCTCATCCGAAACTCACGAAAATTATTTCTTCGATACCTTGCACTCCCACGTCCCTCTTCCCGTGCCGTCAAGCTGGTGCACGACACGCCAAATCCCGAGACTCATCTATACAATTTCGAAAGAAAGAGCCTGCAACCATGGTATGTCCAACCTACCTTCTGGTCAAAATGGGGGCCCGGGGCGTTCCTGGTTAGAGCATTTGGAGGGAAACTACCCGGTTCGCGCGGAGACCGGTATAATCCACATGGATACAGCTTGATGACTATCGGGCCCAGACCACAGAAGGGGAAGGGAGTGGAGGAGATGAAGTCAGATATCGAGGTGATCAAGGCGAGAGGTGTGGCTACATGTCCGTTCTCAAATGCAAAAGCTGAGAACTTTGAGTGAGGTTGTTGACTATACACCATCCTGAGAGCTCGTCAAGATCAATGGAGCATCTACAAGAATGTTGGTGGTTGAGCTTAACTCGCGACCTAACAAGCGGATATGCCTCTCATACATCCATTGTGATATTTTCGGGGAACGCTAGAGTCTGTTCTTCATCTGGGATATCTACAGTCCAGAGAACAGGAATGTCGGCTCGCTCGTAGGAGCTTCCTTCTGCTTTAGCTCGCCTTCCTCTGTGAACAGTCTACCAGCTATAGTTATACATCAATTCAAAATTATACTACGATAGGAAACGTCCCTAGATCACTTCGGTTCGGAAGTTGCATCTGATACTCCATTGCGCAACCAGAGGTCCCTCTAGATATTGTGGAGGAAACGTTCTTCTAGTTGAAATAGTCATATCACTAGTTAATCTCGCAACTTATTACGGGGTATGTATCGCTTGTTCCATGCATCGAATTTACGTAGGTAGTCCGCAGCCAACCCGCCAGCTCACTTTGCGTACATCGTGCATCCAGTTCATCAACCTGGGATTGCACATGAAGCTCAGCAGGATTCTATCTGCGTCTTGTAAGGCTGCTGCTGCTTTTGATATACTATATTCCCCTGGTGAAAGGGCGAGAGTGACTGCTTCTTGCACTTCCAACGGAAGAAGGAATCTACGGCCGCAAGACCAGTCACGCCGACCCCCAATTCCAGCTTTGGCACCTACGGAGAGAGATCTGGAGAAGCCTTCCGCAGCTTGAGAGATACTTATGCTTGTCGCTTGAGCAGTTGCCGTCGTTAATGTAGCGCCGGGGGCTATTGTATGCGATGTCGCGGTGGTGAGACAGAACCGACAAAGATGATATCGTGGTTTCCATCGCCTCATTTGGGCAATTACGTCCCCTGTGCATTGACCGTTGGGCATATAGCTTCATATATATTGGAGCGCTATGCATTTGCAAGCTGTGAGAACTGGCCTTCGATATCTAGATATACGTTAAGATAGGGAACATGGGTATTCGGTATTATTATTCTTATTTTATGTTGATGCAAATCTGTCATGCAATCGAATCATAGCCAAGAAACCAATTAGCATAGATACAGCGAATGGAATATCTAACAAGGCCAATCCAACCCAGCCCCGACCAAAGATAAGATAACCAAGCAAGCTAATGGTGAGAGCAAGAAACGATCAAGAACCGACATGTACATCATCCCGACTTCTCAGGGTCAACAACCTCAGCATGTTGCGCAGCCACCTGCTTCCTCTCCAAAACCGCCTCGACATCTCCCCGCTCCAACGCAGCGACGGCAGCAGTCTGCTTCGTGGTTCTCCATGCCGGCGTACCGATATACGGGATACCATTCGGATCGGTGAAGATGTGCTCCGTCTCTTCGAGGGTCTTTCCGGCAGTCTCGGGGAACATGAAGAAAATGTGGATGAGCATGGCTGTGCAGAAGACACCAAAGATGATGTACGTCTTCCAGCTGATGTTCTCAAAGGCAACGGGAACAAAAAGACCCAGTGCGGTGTTGAAGGCCCAGTTGGCTGAGGTAGACAGCGACACGGCCTTACCACGAACACGCAGGGGGTACAGCTCGGGTGGATAGGCCCACGATGCTGGTCCGAAGGAGACTGCGTAGCTGGCGACGAAGAGGTATGTGCATGCAATCAGACCCTTGGCGGGGGCGCCTCTCAAGCTCATGGATTCCTCGGGAGTTGATCTTTGGTCGTGCGGGACAGGTGTACCGTATGATGCCATAATACCTGCGTTGGCGTACATCCAGATCATCATGAGTGCGGAACCGATCAAGAAGGTTGGGCGACGACCCCAACGGTCCATCCAGAGAAGAGCTGGAATAGTCATGACAACGTTGATGATGTACTGAATTGACGAGGCAATCAGGTTGGCATCACCGGAGAATCCGGCCATTTGGAAAACGTAGGTAATATAGTACACTTGTAATTGTCAGCTGGCACTTAATGAAGAAGCTAGAAACAAACATACTCATAACGTTCATTCCAGTCAGCTGGGACCAAATTTGAGTGAACATTCCGATCATGGTACGGTTGAGCATGGCGGGCTTGAACAGCTCAAGATATGTCACATCCTTGTTTTGTCGCTCAAATTCGCACAGGTCCTGAATCTCCTGCATTTCTGTGACCACGAAAGGGCTGTTGGAGTCACCCTTGCCATGAACTAATGTCAAAACCGAGTGGCATTCTTCCCAGCGATCTTTCCGCGCCAACCAACGGGGCGACTCGGGGAGGAACATCATGCCAACAAAGAGAAAGACGGCGGGAATCATCTGGAGACCCCATGGGATCCGAAAGGTGGCAGTGTTGTAGTCTGAGGACTTTTGACCACCGATATACGAGCAGCCAAAGGAGATGCTGTCACAGTGTTAGCCGGTGTGCAGTGGGATACCGGTCAAGGATTTCACGTACTAATACATGATCAAAATACCCCAAGTAATAGCCCATTGTTGTGAGCCAACCAGGCGACCACGCTTTGACGGCGGCGACAGCTCCGAAATGTAGACAGGGACCTGGGCAGACTCGATTCCCACAGACAAGCCGTTGATGACACGACCAACAATGAGCATACCCATGTTCTGTGAAGCGCAGGAGATAGCTGATCCGATGAGCCTGTATAAAAGTCCTCTTCATTAGCGTACATGATATGCAATAGATCGCCGTGAAGGAAGAGACTTACCAAATGATACAGCCAATCATGATGGCGTACCGACGACCAAGAATATCCGAGAGGAAACCAGAAATCAGGGCACCCAGCCAGGAACCAGCGGGCATAGCAGCGGTGATACCACCCTGTCGCAGCGAAGTCGGACCAGAACACTGTTCGTCATTGTTGAACGGGGGACCTTTGGGACCTTGGTTGAAGTAACATTTGTAGGAGGTGGTACTCAAGATGGCTGACATCGACGAGATATCAAAGCCAAAGAGGGCACCGCCGACGACGGCGACGCCGGAAATCACATAGATGTTGCCGATGGCCATGGTGAAGGTTGAAGAGAGCAAGCACACCCAAATGGTCCGGCGATAGGAAATACCTGCGGATAAAAACAAGGCCAAGACCGACAAGAGAAAAGAAAGGAAAGGAAAACAGAAGGGAAATGAGGGGCCAGTCCGGTTTTTAAAGTAAGAGAGGAAAGAAGAGACAAAGCGCGGGAAGGTTCGATGGGTGACCGGGACTGCGAGTAATAGCATTCACTGTTGATTAACCCTTGGACCGCCGTACTAAAGTGAATGCGTTTAATTATTATAGTGACCAAGCTCTCGGCCAGGCCGGTGCTTCTTGCATTGCTGGGATTGCCGAATTGACGGATTGCGCTGCTTGTGCAGTTATTCCTGCAATGTTTTCTGCAATGTTTTCTGCAATGCATTTTCTGACGGTCTGGCTGTTGTGCGCATGGGCTGTACCCTCACTGCCATGACGATATTCGTTTCCTCATAGTGTGCCTCGATTCATGAAGCTATACGGGACATCTCCAGATCATGTGCTCATCTCCGTATTTCTCCGCATTTTCTTTTTTCTTTTTTTTTTTTCGTTTTAGTTTCGTTCCCACATGGATAGATTGCGGGGAGACACCCTGTAATTGGCGGAGTGTGTATACATCGTGGAACACGGCGGACCCGAGCGGCCGACAATTCCCCTTGGAGTATGGTGTAGGTGTCATTCTGACTCCAGGTTCGGCTCAATAGACGAGTTTGGTTAGGGAGTAATTTCAACCAATGGTCGCCGAAATCAACGCGTTAGGTCAATATGGGTCATATATTGCTGTGTACCAAAGCACTTCGGCCATCGGGCAGGTGACTAGTTGTTACCCAAACACTGAACACCCAGCCGTCCAGCTGTCCAATCATCGGCCTGGTTTGCTAGGGTTGCATTAGATCATGCGAGTTACTCGTATTCCTTCTCAAACGGAACATGTCCGTCTGGGGTTGTTTGTCCGGCGAGCGACGCGGATTTACCGATTCTGGAAGAGTCGAGATGAACGTCGGAGTAGTCCCGTGATGAGCGTCCCGAACACTAATTACGGCGCAAAAGTGATCAACTGATACTTTAGCTGTGGTTGTATCGGAATATTTGCTATCGGGAGTCGAGGGTATATCAACAGCATGTGGAAATTAGACCCGGATCGACCGTCGCGCCTCGGCTTTTGCTTGAAAAAGCAATCAGTAGTGTTTGATACTATCCCACTTCTATTTCCAGATTCTCAAACGAGCTCCTATATCGTAATTCTTTGCACATATTTTGGAAGTTGGGCGGGGGCGCAGGTACCATTCAAATTTGTCTGAATGTTCCGAGAGACGAGAAAACAATTGCCGGTCTCAATCCCGATCCGTAAGCCGTAGTCTATGCGCATGTAAGATGTGGAAAAGAGATATGTTGGCTATATTGGCAGCGGGGTTCTCAGTCTGGATACCAAGCAAAAGAGTCAGCAAGGGACTGATTGTCAGATAAGCAAGAAAAGCAAGAAGTATTGGAAATACTCAGTCCCATTGCCAATTTATCAAGAATTCAAGGTAATCTCATCATACTGTCTCTCAGCGAACTCTGCGTAGAATAGTTGTCATTCTGCTTGAGGGTCTGTCTTTCATCGAAAAATGGAATAAGCGTCGATTGAAGCGAATATTTGCTTCACTAGAAGAGAAAACTTGGCAAAGAGGTTCAATTGAGACGAGAAGTTGCTTCTTTAAAAAGGCTGGCTTGGTAGGTAGAAGGATGAAAGCACTGCAAAGAGGTGAAGACGAGTTGTGGCACATGACCTTCCAATCCCGAATATGAAATGGGAGCAGCTCGACTACAATCCACCTCTGGACGGTATCCAACCAGGGACTACTCACTAAAATAAAAGATGCGCTCGTGCCCCAGGCTCAAAAAATCTACTCAAGCCACCTCTCCGCATCTGAGGTAGGACGAAGCAGCAGTGCTCCGAGTACAGCGAAGACTCAGCCCAGATTGCAATCTAACGTCGTATAAATCCTCCAGTGAGATGGAGAGACTAGATACTCAAATGGAACGCTATCAGAGTCGCTATCATCTCTTTGAGTTTATATATCGCAGATAGTGCTTCCCGAAGATCTCAAGATGCGCTTTCTATACAGCCGACTCCCTGTCCACAAATCGAATACAGAACGAGATAAAGAATACGAGGACGGTCCAGAACAGTCTCTTGAACCGCCACGGGTTTTCTGCAAGTGGCTACCGATGTTTCTCATCCTCTTGCTACTTACCAATGCCATAACACTGCTGGGCAGCCTCTACTGGGCATCATGGCGGGAGCTACGCTTCAAGGCCGAGTCACCGCTGGCTTACGGTAACTGCGAGACTTTCTATTGTGGCGTGAGAGGTTGGCTAACTCCGATTGCACAGCGCGGATGCCGCAGTCACTCGATACAGTCTTAGTGAGACAGGAATTGAGGCTCGATTCTCTCGCTCTCCACTAGCACGCATAAGCCTGGCAACCATGTCAAATCCGAATCGTTTGTCCCTCAATCAAGGCGGTCCACATATGCTAACACGGCAGTTTCCACTGGCCAATGGTCGAGGAACTTTTCAAAATACTCTGACCAATCCTCATACTACTGGAAATTATGATAGCCATAGGCATATTCCCAGTATGTAGGGTACCATCCCGCTGCTTCCCAATCCACGATAGCGACAACCTTATATTATTCAGTCCCTGAAAGAGGATTGTGGACTTTCCTAACCAGAATGCGCCCCGGGGTTGAAGTCCCATGGGAAAATGAGAGTTGATGGCCGCTAAGCGAAGAGGGAAGGTGCCGGGGTGAAAAGTCTGGATGCCACCATTGTTCATCACAGGAAGTAGCGTACTCTTTAGATCGTAGAGCCATAGCCCTACCAAAGTCCTCCTCTTTCTCGAATGGTCCGGTGATAGCGGGATTCTGCTCCGTCGAGCGAAACCATCGATGATGAGGCACTGGTCCTCCTTCCACGCCTCCATAGAAGCCATGGGTAGGTAGCGATCTCATCTCTTGGAAGATAGGTCGGAGCTGGCTCACCAGGGAGCTTTTCTCTTGCTTAGAGAGCGAGTCTCACAAATTCTCTAGGTTCTTTCCAGGAATGTATTCCGTGATGATGTATAGATTGCCTGCGTCCCGATACATTGCGCAAAGCCGTGGTGCAGGAGTGGGGAGGTTGGATTGGATGAAGAGCAGAGCATGACCTTCGTTCTCGGAGAGAGGGGCCGTATCTGACAATATATAAGTTTCTAACCACAACAGCATATCCGGCATGAGGGCGGGAATTGGATAAAGATTGGCGACTGCTGTTTCGACCTCTTGTAACTCAGGGAGGGGACCGGGCAGCTGAGCTGAATCTCGACAATAGGGCATTAGAGTAGACATTTTGGGAGAGAAATGGCTTTTCGCTCGTCTCCGTAGACATACAAGTTAGCAAGTCCTCAAGATAGGTTATTCCACAGAAAATATGTGCTTGGTTAAGGGTAGTTAAGGGTGTAGGAGCCTTGGTAATGGCTTGGAAGCAATCATGTTTTGGTTGCGCTCTCGAGAAGAGCCAGGCTAGTCTCCTAGTGAGGTAGATGTCATGATAGTTACCAGTACAGCCTGAATAGAAAATCAATACACAGTCATCATGTGACTGTATGGAAAGCTGTTACTGTTTGTCAATACGCCAACTACTCAGACAGCTGTTTTACCATATCGAAGCGAGGTATCAGTTCCTGCAACGACGTCATCATTCATGACTGTTGGAAATGTCTCAACAACAACGTGTCTTCTTAATCCGCTCCAATCTTGCAATCCAAGACCCCGACGTCCCCAGCCCCCGCTGGCACACTACCCTCTTCGTGGAAACCGAGAAAGACGGCGCGGGCTACATTCACGAAGCCAACGGCGACATCACATCTCCTCAGAGCATGAAATACTCCCCTAGCTTTCAAAACGCACCAGAGACGTCTGAAGGTTTCTTCTCGAAGGAGTTCCTGGCTTTCACGGCGTCCCTCCACCTCGAGCCATGGAGAGCCTTTTTGGACAGCGTCCCTGCCCCTCATCAGCAGAAGGCGTTTAATTTAGCGCCGATGAGGACGGAGCCGTTTAAGACTCTTGTGCCACTCGCTTTTTATGCGCCGGGGGAGGAGAGAAAGTCTCTAATTAAGTGTACGGAGTGGACCGGGACCACAGCCCACGTCGAGGATGTGAGCAGCCGGTAAGCAGTGGAGTGAAGTAGCCGCACGAGTCAGAAGTTGAACGGATCTGATGGGCCGCCATCATTTCAGATGTGTGTCCCTGTGTATAATCAGGCATTTTGAACTGATGTACTGGTTTTAACGGATATGAACGAGTGCTTTGTGGTTGTTGTAGTTGTTGCGAGATGATCATAAATACGAAGGACAAGATGGATTAAATAGAGTGTCGGCTATGCGGGGCGTCTTCGTATCGGCATCGGAGTGCTCGAACTATCACTGTGGTTAGCAACAACATTCATCGGATGCATAATCGCGATCTCTCGTAACTATAGCTTCCTCGGATCCATGAGGCATCCGTGATGGTGGCAGATGCGGCATAGAGTATCTGCTAAAGCGAACGGCTAGATTAGCGTTTCTCGGCGTGGTACCTCTTAGTCCAAGTGTTCATTGAGGATTCTCAGATGAAGCTTCCAGTAGTTATCTCCAGTAGCATTACATTGCTATCCATTGTAATCGGAATTATGAAGCACATTATTCACAAAATCAAATTATTAAGGCCTCGGATCACGGGACTTGGCAACTACCCGATGGGGAAACGCCGAAAAATCGAGAAAGCCAGCTGAACCCCTGGACGGCTCTACAAAGAGTGACACCTAATCACTTCCACCTCTTCCTCTTATTTACCATACCAACACGTGCGAAGTGATTCCAATCTTGGTCTGTCGTTCTGCCTGTTGATTAGGGATCTCAGCCTTATTCCCCGTTGAGCATCGACAACGCTCGAGCCTCCCGAGTCGATTCCCCCGAACCCTCCGACGCGCCGCCGCGGAGGGAACAACCGACTCGATCGTTGCATCGACAAGAATAAAAAAAGAAGCATTGGCGATATCCCTCGAGACAAATTCGTCAGCAATCATGCCTCGTCCCCGGAGAAAGTCGAGTAGCTTGGGCGTGGACATCCGGGGTGACACCAGCGCACCGGCCATGTCGACGATGAATCTTGTCAGCCCAGTTGAATCCGAACCCGGGGTCTTTGACAAGGTATGGGATATCCATTGACCTTCTGTACAGTCGCCAGCTCCGTACTCATATAATTTCCAGCAAATTCCGCAGCCTCGTACTTCTCCCGAGAAGCCCAAGTCACAGTCGAAACGTCGCAAGAATCGATCGCTGCTCCGTCGCTCTAAGGATATCTGCTTGAAGCACACATGGCTCCTCCCGCTCATCATGCTGATTGTTCTCCTGTCGTTGTACTTGGTCAACCCAACCGAGTCCAACCCCATGCACAGCGCTATCTTCCTGTCCTATCCGGGACCGCCGAAGACGCCCGGTGGCCCCATCATGTACGGAAAAGGTCCTAAGGATATTGCCTTTGTGTCCTTCTACACAATTGTTCTGTCATTCACTCGCGAGTTCCTGATGCAGCGCATGATCCGTCCGTTGGCAGGTTGGTGTGGAATCCGCGGTAAAGGCAAGACTGCACGTTTCATGGAGCAGGTGTACACCGCGATCTACTTTGGTATCTTCGGACCTTTTGGTCTCTATGTAATGTACAGGTCGGACATTTGGTATTTCAACACGACGGCCATGTTCGAAGGTTTTCCCCACCGGGAGCATGAACCTTTCTTCAAGGCCTTTTACTTGCTCGAGGCGAGTTATTGGGCACAGCAGGCGATCGTGCTGATGCTGCAGTTGGAAAAGCCCAGGAAGGATTTCAAGGAGCTTGTCGGTCACCACATCATCACGCTGGCGCTCATTGGACTGAGCTACCGGTTCCACTTTACTTACTTGGGTATTGGAGTCTACATCACGCACGATATCTCGGATTTCTTCCTTGCGGTCAGTATTTCCACGACCCATACCATGTCTAGCGCATACTAACAGCAGTTATCCTTGCAGACCTCCAAGACTCTCAACTATCTCGACTCCATTGTCACTGCGCCCTACTTTGCAACCTTCGTCGGTGTGTGGATCTATTGTCGGCATTATCTCAACCTCAAGATCCTTTGGGCTATCTTGACCGAATTCCGGACCGTTGGACCGTTTGAACTCAACTGGGAAACGCAACAATACAAGTGCTGGATCAGTCAGTACATTACCTTTGCGTTGCTGGCCAGTCTGCAGGCCGTGAACCTGTTCTGGCTCTTCTTGATCCTCCGCATTCTCGCCAACTATGTCTTCAACAGTGTCAAGAAGGACGAGCGAAGCGATGATGAGGACGAGGAGGAAGAAGAAGAAGAGCAGGAGAAGACCCAAGCTACTCTTGCCACAGGTACTGAGCAGCCCGCACTCACGGCGCGCAACGTTACCCAGGGGAACCAGGCACCCCAGGTTCTGCTTAACGGCGAGCCTGTCCAAGGAGCCGAGGACAAGAAAGACTCGTGAGAGGCGTCTACTTTTTTCGTCTTATTAGCCAGCAAAATTTATAGAGACTTTTTTCCAACGACAGCTTCCAATTTATGAAGCTGTTTTAAACATCATTTACCACCAGCATCATTTATGCTTAGGCAATTCTTCTGGTGGCTCTGGGCGTGTTCTTTTCTCTTATTGTGTTCTAATTTGGTTTAGCTTTAGGAAGACTCGGTGATACGGTGACCGGTGTCCATGTTTTTTATGACATTTACTTCGCTACAAAGATATTGGCTCGGGTTGGTGTCCTATATGGCGCAGCTGGTTGAATATAGGATGGTGCATGCTTTGTTGTCGGTGTTTTCTCTGTTGCTGAACTTTCTACGGCAGTTTCCGATAATAATAATAATGATATAGATTCGCATTTGACGACCGTCGGAAGCTCAATTCTGATTGAGTTTACGGCAAATTAGGTTTCGGAATTGCTTGTTCATACTTTTTTGCATTCAATGCACCGTCTATATTACACGATTATTTTCAGAACTCATATCACATGAAATACCCGGCACATCTATATCCAGAGCATATGTGATTAGTGTCAAGCGGGTGGCCGCAGTCACTGGAGGCGTGAGGAGGTCGAGCGCCCGCACTACTGCTTCTCGTCGGAGGTCTTTTCAGGCTCTTTCCCGGATTCGGGCTGTCGAGACTGTTAGAATCAGATGCGCCATGACGGCTAAGATCAACGTACCTGCTTCTCGCCTTCGGACTTGGGAGCCTCCTCCTTTGGCTTCTCGGCCTCAGACTCAGCCTTAGGAGTCTCGTCACTCTTGGCCTCTTCCTTGGGCTGCTCATCTTTGGACTGCTCATCCTTGGACTCAGACTCCTGTTCCTTGGGCTGGGACTCCTCGGGCTTCTTCTCTTCCGTGGATTCTTCCTTCTTCTCTTCCTTGGGCTCCGGCTTCTCCGCCTCGGGGTCGGGCTGAGGAGCAGCTTCACCAGCGGGGCCAGCCTCGGCCTGTTCCTGGCTTTCCTCCTGTGCGTGCTCAGCGTGATCGCCGTGGCCGTGGTCGTCGTGCTTCTCGGGGCGACCGGACTGCCACAACCAGAACGAAGCTGGGGCGGTCAGGCCGATGGAGCCTAGGAGCCTATTGCAAAGAATCTCAATTAGTGTCCGGTCGCGAATCAAATGCAATTGAATCACAAGTAAACTAACCATGGAATATCCGACCCCTTGCCCTCAGCAGGCTTCGCGGTAGAATAAGTGCGACGACCAGCCTGTTGTCCGGCTCTCCGAGCAGTCGTGCCCAGCATGCGGGCAGACTGCGAGGTCATGAAAGTGCGGAAAGCAGGGAATGCCATTGTGATAGATTTTCCGGGGATGTGTATGTAAATTCAAACCACGGGTAGTCGGAGTAAGAAACCACAGAAATGAGGCAATTGGAAAGGAAAAGATGTGAGAGGATTGCGTGCCGGCGTAGTATATAATCGGTTCGGAACGGAATTAACCGGCGTGGCCCAAGCTTGTTTCTCGGTGATGTCACGGGAGATGTCAGGAACGTGGCATAGAGCCGCAGAGATTGATAAATGGTGGCTATTTTAGTGGCAGATATTGAGTATCATAAGGCGATTATTCTGAATATCGTTATTTGCTGGCTTTCTCCTGCAGTGTCTGTTCGCGATGCCATACTGCGCAGGAGGTCTATGTCGTGTTCCGTAGCAGCTGTCATCGACACCTTAATATGGCCTCAGACATCCTGCCCCACGTGCCTCTGATAGCTTCATTATCATCTGTTTGCTCTCTGCCCGGCGCTTCTCTTCTACTGTTTCTTATTTACTACTTATACTGCCGCTATAATCCAGCTCTATTCGTCTAGCGAGCCTCTACACATCATGGCAGACCGACAAGCAACGCAGCAGAGCCTCAACGCCCTGCTCTCCAAGCTCGATGACCCCGATGCGGATTTGAGATACATGTCTCTGAACGATCTCCAGGGGATCCTCACCAGCCCGAACTCAGCCTATCTTCCTCATGACCAACACTCCTCTACAAAGCTGGCCGATGGCTTGCTCAAGGCTCTGGATGACCATCATGGTGATGTGCAGAACCAGGCGCTAAAGTGGTTCGTACAAGATCAGCCCGGAACTCTGGAGCATTTCAGATAGAGCTTGGCTAACTATTTATACTCTCTAGTCTCGGTCCTCTCGTCGTCCGGTTGCCGTTCGAAAGTCTCACGCCGCTCCTGAAGAAACTGACCGACCTGACTGCCTCGCAAACCATCGATACCTCCGTTCCGAACACTGCCTTGAGAGTCATTGTGAATGCTCTTCCTCGTCCACAACCCGGACAACCTGCCGCTGAGAATGAGAATATGGCATATTCGGCAATCTCGAAAGTCTTGATCCCTCGTCTTACCGGTCCTACACCGTCTCCCTCCGCAAGACGCGGGTCCGTCGTACAGGGCATGTTGGAGAAAGATTCTTCCAAGGGCTTTAGCAGTGATGCAATTGATGTTTTAATCCAGGTCGTTACGTGCTTCGGGTCGCTTCTCAACGAGGCGGAATTAACAGCTCTGCAAAGGTCCGTCATGTCTATTATCGATAACGACACGGCTGGTACCGTGGTCACGAAGCGTGCATTGTCCGCCATTTCGGCGATCGTCCTGCATCTTTCGGATAATCAGCTCAACGAGTTCGTTGGTGAACTTGTAGAGAGCTTCCAATCCCCGCAATTGACTACCGTTCACCGTCGACACTTGATTGCCACCGTGGGAAGCATCGCGAGGAGTGCTCCGGCCAAGTTTGGTCCTCATCTGCCAACATTGGCGCCGTTCGTCTTTTCTGCGGTGGGAGAGGAGAATCTCGAGCAGGTAGCGTGACCTACGTTGGTGTTGATTCCCAGATAAAGGACAAGAATTGGCCTGTGTAGTAGCTGGTACAGAACTCTTCCCAACCGGTGTCCGTTGCTTAGGCGTTTACGAAGGAGCTTAGTCTAGTAGACTGCTTGGGGACGCTCTACGAAACTGATATTGGCTTCAATGTAATATAATTATGATTTGCTAGGTTTTATGTCCACGGGCTGGGCATCGCATTATGAACGTGATATGAAATCCAATTGACATTCGAACATCGAACAAAACATAAAAGCTGGCTATTATATTCTATCCCCCAGAAAGAACCCGTTGCGTCGCCATACGTAACTTACGCGGTTGTTCCGCGTATTGCACCTTCCGTTCTGTCTCCAGGCCTCCTTCCTATTTGGGCTCGTTCCTTCCCAGTTCGGTGCAGAGCCCTGCCTTCCTCTGCTGTCCTCTCCCGCCTTAAGAACTTCGTTCTTCCTCTCTTCTCTTCTCTTCTTCTTCCTCTCTCTCCCACCATCCACCTATCCTCCTCATCGCTCTCTTTATCTGACGCATTCTGCTAGCATCAGATCTCATCTTATCCTGCATCTAAGCTTCCATTTACCTTTGTATCAATCGTCAAAATGCACCTACGTGACATCCTCGCCTTCTCGGCCCTCGCCCTAGCAGCGTCCGTGTCGGCTCGCAGCGTCCCACAGCCACCCAAGGGCAACTCTCCTATTGCCTCTGTTACTGTGGAGAATGGTGGCCAAGGCAGCGAGCTGCGGAGCGAGAACTTCGAGAATCGGTGTGGTCCCAAGTACGGCAAGTGCGGAAAGGGCAAGTGTTGCTCGACTGCCGGTGAGTCCTTCGACAGCATCCCTTCGAATGAGAACAACGAGACGTACTGACATTTCTCTGACAGGTTACTGTGGATCGAGTAAGGCCCACTGCCGCTCTCCAGACTGCCAGATCGACTTTGGTCACTGCGATGCCCTTTCCTCTCCCGAGGGCCCGTCCACCGAGAAGATTCGCAGACCGAAGATCGGCACCGCGCCCTATGGACCGAATGTCATCCGTTCATGTGCCGTCCCGGGTACCATTGCTTTGACGTTCGACGATGGCCCTAGGGAATACACCGAAGAACTTCTCGGTCTGCTGGAGAGGTACAACGCCAAGGCGACCTTCTTCATTACGGGCAACAACGGTGGCAAGGGTCCTATCGATGACTTCGACATGCCCTGGAGCACATTGATCAAACGCATGCAACTCGAAGGCCATCAGATTGCCAGCCACACCTGGTCTCACCAGGATCTTAGCAAGATCTCGCACGACCAGCGCAAAGACCAGCTCCTGAAGAATGAGATGGCTCTTCGTAACATTCTGGGCGGCTTCCCGACTTACATGCGTCCTCCGTACTCGAGCTGCCTTCCCGAGTCTGGCTGTCTTGATGACCTGGGTAAGCTTGGATACCATGTTGTCTTGTACGACCTCGACACTAGTGACTACGCCCACGACAGTCCCGACGCCATCCAGGTCTCCAAGGACATCTTCAACAAGGCTGTGGATCCATGGAAGGTCACCGACAAATCCTGGTTGGTCATCGCTCACGACGTCCATGAGCAAACCGTCCACAACCTCACTGAGCATATGTTGCGCAAAATCCGGGACCGTGGCTATCATGCGGTGACTGTCGGCCAGTGTCTCAATGACCCCGAGGAGTACTGGTACCGTAAGGACCCCCACGGCCCCCTTCACGCCGACAAGGAGGGCAAAGAAAGTCGCAAGAAGGATAACAAGGGTAAGCCCTCTACCTTCAAGGCAATTACTCTGGACGGCACCTGTGGTGTGAATGTCACATGCGTTGGCTCTGCGTTTGGTCCCTGCTGCAGTAGTGCTGGTTATTGCGGCAACTCTACGGCGCACTGTGGTACAGGTTGCCAGTCCGACTTTGGCCGTTGCTTCTGGCCCGACTCCGACAAGCTTCTTCCCAACGGTACCACCATCGGAATCCCGGCCAAGCCTAAAGACACAGCAGCTGGATGGTTACCGATCGACAAGGACAAGGATGCTGCAAAGAGACCAGTGAAGTCGGAAGCCGGCTCTCTTGTCAAGACCGGCGCTTCTGTCACGGCATTGGCTTTGCTTACTTCCGCAGTGGTTCTTTTGGGTTGAGCATTCTTATGACACAAGAGAATGATTTGTTTGTTGTTGAATTCGAATTTGATGACTTGTTTTTCTGTTTGAATTGAGTTTGGGTTTCACATTGCACCGGGTTAGTTTGTGTTCTCTCGTTTGTTTGCAGACTTGTGCAGTAGTTTAGCAGAATAATTACAGAGTAGAAAGAGACAATAAATGGCCTCGCTTGCTTCGAGTGATTATTAATGTCCCCGATGGCGGACGTAGATGTCGTAAAGCAGGACACAGGTCGGATGAACATGGGTCCGCCAAGGCCCGGAACGGGGCATCCTAATTGGGAAGTCATGTGACGACCCTCGGATTGATCTCAAACTTTTTGGCCTAGCGGTATTTTTCCCTTTCCGTCTCCTGACAATACCATGAAACGCCGCCTTTTTTAATGCAACTAGTTAGTTAGTTATCAACCGGTTAACTAGTTAACAACTAGTCAATAGGTAATTATGGACTATTCAAGGAAAATAGTTCTTATTCTTTTATGTAGATAATATATAATACAACATAGCTGAGTGTAAAGTTGTTCATTGCTAATTTTTACTCCATTTAACGATGTGACGGTTTGCAGGCGGCTGAAAAAGGCTACTTCAGCGGCCGTTTTAGGAGTCCTGCTAACCAACTCCCGTCTTGGCATCAGGTGAGTGTATTCCCACGGCCACGGGCTTTCCTCCCACGCCAGGCCACGGGCTTCATGTGCCTCAAATGGACCTTTTGTTATTTTTTTGTTTGACATCACCTACCTAGACGCTCTCGTTGCAGTTGCTGCAGAAGGGAAATGTTTTTGGCTCCCCCCTTGACCATCATATTCTCTCCAGCTATAAATCCCATTATGCTGACCATGTCCTTCCCTGCTTCCATCCTTCCTCCCATGAGCATCTCTCACAGCACTTCCCATCCTTTTGAAATCCGTCCTTGTCCACGAAACTGCTGTTATCCTCGCCTTCTTTATCTCCTACTGCAGGCTTTCCTTTGTTTGTCAGTTCCCTGCAGGCTGTATCTGTCACGGGCTCGGAATAGTAGATACTAACGAATTGAATTCCTATCTAGACTAGGTAGTAACCTCTCGACGAGAATATCGAATCTGGGGGAGAAAAGGAGAAGAGGAAGCTATCGAGAGGATGAAGGGGGTTTTTATAAAGTACTCTGTCCTTATTAGATGACCTATTAAATATAAATATACAGTGCTACCTAAGAGATAAATATACATCAAAAATGACAAAGGTTCAACATCGTAAATCGTCTCATCTTGCATCAGGTCGTAGTAAATCATTATCATATAATAATACAAATATGGAGGCAATACTCGGGAAATCGGATGAATGTCGCGGAGAGCAGCTAGTAAGAAATCGCATCCTCGTTATCATTTCCTAACAATCTTTAGCAAAGGTGCAATCCGCGCACGACGACTCAGTCCGACACGGTAGGGCACTTTGCTCGTGCCTGCGATGGGAGAGTGTTTGCTTGGTCCTTTGCTGTCGTTATTAGTGGATTTGGTCGATGTGTCCGGATCAGATTGCCCTTCTTGATTGGAGGTATCCAGTGTCGGATTCGATTTCTTGGGGCTTTCGGGGGCGTTTGATATAGATTCTTGTTCAGGTTCGGGCTCTGGTTCAGGTGCTGCCGCTAGAACTGAGGAAGGTTTTGTCCCGTCGATTGTGGATGGGTTGTTGGATGAGTTTGGTTTCTGCCTGTTGCCGTTTGCATGTTTCTCGACGACAACGGACACGTTGCTGAGGGTTTGACCAGGCGCATGTCCATTGACTTCAGTCGATACCTCCTCAGCAGAGACAAGAGGCTGCTCAGCAGTCTTCTTCCTCTTCCGTCCGCGTTTCTTAGGTGCCGGTTCCGGATTAGGATTACCCTGATCCTGGTCTCCCCCGAACATAGGAACCTCCACCGCAGTGAGTGTCTCTTGTTCTCCCGCGGGCGTTGAGATCGAATCAGGAGTGGGAATCGAGTCTGGTCGACGATCGTGTTGGGGATCAAGTTGTCGGTCGTCGATCCAGATTACGTCGTCTTCGACGTCTGGTTCGTAGGTTTTCTTGACCGTGACGGAGGTTGTTTTGCCGCGTTTGAGCTTCTTTTTCTTGAGTTCTTTGCGGGGTTGTTTTGGTGGTTGTGTGAAGTGGGCTCTTAGTTGGTCGTTTGAGGGTTGCGGGGGTTGGAGTTGGGGCTGGGTTTTGAGGGCGTTGAGTTGGATGAGGTCGATTTCGTCGTTGTCGGGGTTCGTGGTATGGGGTGTGTTGTCTGGTAGTTTGGGCTCGTTAGGGATAGGATGTGGTGTGTTTGTTTCGATCAGTTCGTGGGTCTCGTTGAGATTGTTGCTGTCCATGGTCTGCTTATTACTCCTTGAACGACTAACCCCTTTCGCCTTTGACTTGTTGTTCTTCGAGTCACTTGGCGCAGCGAGCTCATCGTCATCATCATCCTCCGGTTGCGGTTGTGACTTATTTTTCTTTGGGGCTTTCTTCTTCTGAATGATCGGAATCTCAACAGCAACAGCAGCAGAAAGTTCATCCGTCGCATTTGTTTGAGACTGCTGTGGTGAAATCTGCTGAGCGGTATTATCGCTTTTCGATCTGCTCACGTTTGGTGACCTCAATGACGAGAATGGCTCGGTATCGTGTGGAGAGTCAAGTGCTGCTTCTTGCAGTGACTTTGATCGAATGGGAGTTTTATTCAATATTTCGGTTTGTATAGTCTCATGCATTGCGGCGTCTGCATTCGTGGATCCTCGCAGTGCGGATTCGTAGGCACTGGAGGAAAGATTTGACTGAGTACGGTCAAACGTCGAGATACTGGCATGGGCTGCTTCAACGTTCAACGCATTCTCAACCCACTGATTTCGATCCGAATTATACCATTCGGGGTGTAAAATGGGCACTTGAACCTGCTGATACCCCTCGGGATATTCCAGAGCGCTATAATCAACACCATGCAAACCTTGCTGTTGCTGCTGCTGATCTATGTACCCCAACTCCGACTCCGTAAATGGAACAGTTGCAGTCGAAGGAATCTGCTGTCCAGTATGCGGGGCGTCATCGTCAAACAGTCGTCTTTGTGCCATATCGATCTCGGACATCATAAAGGCTATCGGTATCTCGTTAGTCGGCCGCACAATCAACCAGGACTAAGGGTCTCTTACCAATCGATCCAGACCCCCTCGCAATCCCATTCCCAAATCCACCCGGAATCCACCTCTCCTCCCTCCTCTGCTGAGACGACGATAACGACGCCCGTCTCTGCGCATCTTGCGACTGCGACTGTAGGAAATCATCGAAGTTGACGCTGATATCACCAACATTATTGATCTCTTGTTGGATCTGGTTATCAATAGCATCGTTCTCCACATTACCGTCATTGACAGCTGAAGCGTTATCCTCCCAATTACTGTTTGCTGGACGATTCTCTCGCCTGGGGGACACCGTGGGGGCCGGAGGTTGAGCCTCGCAGGAGAGAGGGTCGTCCTCCTCGTCGGAGTCTTGGATCACGCGGCTGGCCATTGTGATAGGAGTACGTTATGTGAGCATAAGGGTATTGGTGGATATATATGTCGTCTATAACGGAGTAGGTATAGGAAATTGGGTGATTGGATGAAGTTCGACTTGATGCGCGTTTGGTGGGACCATGTGACGCGAGGGCACGTGGTGATAAGATAACACTTCCCTAAAGGGAAATAGTATGGGAGCGCTTCACACAGGGAAGTTTGGGGGGATCATTGGCGTGGACGATGGACTATGTAAGAGCAATTTGATTGGAGGGAATACATTGTGCGTTGTGTATATAAGCTATGAGGTGTTTTGGCTGAGACCAACTATCCTTGGTTCAACACCTACCCTCACCTCGTATATCCATAAATATCTAAGTACAGAAAGGTATCAATTGCGCACCAAAAAGAAACACAAATCATCACTCATCACATCACTCCATAGTACTCTGCGGCCGCATAACCCCCCTCCCAAAGAACTCACTAACAACCCCGAACCGGTCCTTCGACCGCTGAAGCTCGCCCTTGAACAGATCATGCTGATCAGCCGATTCCACCTGTCGCTTACGAATAGCCTTGATGGTGGAATTCTGTGGCGCGCAGACGGGACATTCAGCGTCTTCGTCGACCTTGTTTAGACAGCGTTGGTGGAAGGAGTGTTTGCAGAGGAAGTGGATTGTCGGGAGATCGAGGCCTCCACCGCAGGACATGCATCGGCGTGCTTGGAAGACAACGGGTTTGGTGCCTAGCTGTTCGATTTCTTGTTTTTTGGTTTCGGTTTCGGTGCTGTAGCTTGATATCAGGCGGCGGTTCTGTAGAGCGGTTAGTTATTAGTATACGATGAGAACGGTGATATGCACTCACCGAAGAAATCTCCTTCCGTTCTCGCTCAATATTGTCACTTAGATATTTCTTGAGACGGCCCATCGTGACAACTGCATTGTTGCTTAGTGCCTGGATGACCTGTAGTGGCGACATGAGGCCCTCGTCATCGATCTTCTTGAGAACGGCATCGAGCTCATCGCCAGCTTCTTCTAGGATCTTTGGGCTCGAGGCAAAGTACGTCAAGGCATCCACGTATAATCGTGGTTCCTCGGGGCCGTACTTCTTCAGAGCCTTGATTGCACCCTGCGTATCCTTCGCAGCGGTAAACGAACGAAAGATATCAGACCGAAGACCTTCTTGTTCGCGGACCAAGGTCGAGCCCTCTCGGAAACCGGATAGGTCGGACAGCAGCAAGACGTTCGATGTCGAGATGGGGATCTAATCAGATGTAAGAGTAAGAACCCACATTAGAAAGAAATATACTTACATCCTTGCCCTCGATAAGCTTCTTCGCCTTGTTCTCCCACTCCGCCTTCTCAGTAGTATCTTTCTGCCGCTTGGCTGTGTCCAGATACATCTCGAACAGGGTTGTAAATAGGTCCATCTTATCTTCTTCTTTCAGGTTTGGTTGGCTCGTAAGATCCTCCAGGAAGGTAATGAATTCCTGTGGATGATCCACGAATGCAGAGAATGCTGCCCTGGGTTTGGGAATGACATAGTCCGGAGTCGATTCGGTAATTTGATTCTCTGCCACGGACGGGGCCTCGGACACTTGCTCCGTTGTACTTGTGCTGACGTTTATAAGGCCCAGCGGAAGGAAACCTGCCAGGCTCTGCAATGTACTGGTAGGTTGTACTTGGGGCTCGGCAGGTGGCTCGACCTGCGTTCTTGGCTGGTACTTTCCGGTGTAGTAGACTATGAAGAGCTCAGTGGTTTGTTGGGGGCAATTGGCCAGTAGGACACGGGCGTATTTCATGAGGTTGTGGTAAGCCTGCACCGGTTAGTAACTTCAAATGAACCATACCTGGTGAACTACATACCATCTGAGGCTCAAGTCGCCAGATATACTCCACAGCCTCAGCGTACTTCTTCGAATCCTCGATCAATATATCGACAACCATGTCATTTTCACCGTATTTAGTGGCCAGGTACGCAGCTTGCTCGTAGTAGCCGCCTTGGCGGCACATAGCAATGGCGGTTTCCAAGTCAAACTTCAACTCTCCAGGAGCCTTGATGAACGAGTCCAACTTTTCTGTGTCCTTTAACTTCGCGTAGCAGTTGAGGAGTAATGTGGTGTGGTCCACTGTAGCCTTCTCGTGATCGTGCAATTCCTCTAGGTATTCGATGAGATTGTGAATACGTTGTGTGTCAAGATACTGCTTAGTGTCAGTGATCCGCAATCCCTATAGTTTAGAAGGGATACTCACCTTCCGTATAACTTGTGATGGTTCAGTGTTGTCGATCGCTCGAAGATATTGCTGCATTGCCGTGTCGTAGTCTCCCTTCTGATACAGGAAGTCACCGTATCTGCGGTAGATGGCATTTTGCTGCATAGAGTCGACGTCCGTCTTCTGCGCCAGGTTGATAGCCAAGATATAAAGGTTGCGTTGATAGAGGATCTCGAGTTTCTGCTGGAGACTCTTTTCCCGATAACGGTAGACCTTCCCATCTGTAGTCAAAAGGAATAGACTACCCCACTCGGTGAAGATGTGCTTCACAGAGGACGAGAGTGACTCAGAATGGGAGATGAATTTCAGGTCCGTATCGAGCAAAGTGAAAGTAGTCGTACTGAAGAGCTCGTCCGTCTGGCTCATGCCCATATCCAGCGAGTCTGGCTTTGTGGACCCAGCTCTCGGGGGACAAACGAGAGCGATGTAATCTTTGAAGATGTTGATCGAGTTCTTCGGACTCTCGAATGCGTAGCTTGATCCACGCCCACGCGAACCATATGTGTATACGGCATCTTCCCTGGCAATCAATATATCACTAGAATCCTTGTCCATTGCCATACATCCGAGACCACAACCAGTATCTTCCAGGACCCGAGCTGGCTGGCCCTGCCCTCTCCCAGAGATGATCAACGTCAATATCCGGTTCGTCGTTGAGATGTAGAGCGCTGTCGTCGTTAGTCCGTCCTGCGTCGCGAGTCCGGTAATCGGTTCCTCCGATTCAAACACAATACGTTGTCGTGCACCGCGATCGTGAATCAAATCACCGCGAATAATCGTCACGGATCCGTTGGCAAACCCCACCGCAACCTGGGATAGATCGCTAAGCGCCGTGAAGGCAGATATCTGTACCAATTCGAATTCCTCAGCAATTTTTCAACCTATTCGTCCAGCAGTGTAGACATACCGGAAACTGTCTCTTGGCATTCTGCACCGAGACCGTCGACAAGCACTGCGGGGCCCCGGTCTTCTTCTCGGGCTTATCGAGACCCCAGACCTTCAGTACCGGCTCATTCAGGAGATCCTCTGCAATAGTAACCAACAGCGACGTTCCATCTATTTGTTTCATATGCGTAATCGAGCCGGCATCGTGTGCTTTGAATGATCGGACGATCTTGAATGAGGAGGAGACGATGTGGATGACGCCGTCGGTGGATCCGAGGAAGAGGTTCGCGGAGCCGGTGCAGAGGGTTGAGAGATTAGGCTAGCGACCGACATGTTAGGTTTCGAGAGACTATGTAGAGATATAAGAGTGGAAGTACATACCCCAAAGACGGAGGCGCTCTCCGACAACTTGACCGACGAGACGTCGAAGAAGTTGAACGCTTTCCACTGTCGGGCGTGAGTATGCGATATGACAAATTGACGGGCGTGATACTCACTGATGTCAGAGCCATTTGATCGTGGCCCGCGCCATGGACCGGTTGAAATGGTGTTTAAAGAGCAGAGTGGGTGGTGGTGATTGCGGTGTCTCCAGATCGTCGGAGTTGATTTGGCGAACTCCGCCGGCCAACACGGGAACGTCATTGCTCAATGAGTGTTTACATTTTTGTATAGAATGCAACCCTTTCTTGAAGATGAAAATGAGCAAAAATGCTCAAATCAATGGTCTTGACTTTTATGGAGCTAATCCTATTATATACATATAAATCCTGATTGAGCTAAGATAACTGTCGAAACGCTAATGGGTATCCAAATTCAAAGCAGATCGTTGCGCATCTCCAGACGACGCACCAGGGTTATTTCCGGACCTGCGAAGGTCCCTATTCCAATCAAAACTTTCCTGCAGCCAGCTCCCAGCATCGGCAATTGCTTGGCTCAGGTTGAAGCTCTCGCCTGCAAGACCTCCCTGGCCATCTTGCCCAGTGGGCGGCGTTGTCCCCGACAATGTCAGCGGTAATGCGGTAGACTGGGAGGGTTCGTGGTTATTGTCATTGGGGTTTATCCCAGGCTGTGAATCGCGTGGGCTTTCCCCAGCACTCTGGATCCTATAGTCGGATTGGTCTCTTTCCGGCGATGGCGACCAGTCGGAGTAAGAACTCGGAGAACGGTCCGGAAAACTAGAGGTTTTCTGCTTCTTGTTGCTCGACATTACTCTTGGTAGGGATTCAATATGGGCATGGCGATGACGCTTCTGTTCAGTGCTGAACGTAAAAGGGGTGACGGCATCGACTATACATTGCGTACTGGGCATCACAGCAGCGGCAGTTTTTGAGGGACTGTTATCTGGAGCAAGATGGGGTGTATTAAGACGGTGGAAGGGTGTGATCTTCTGTGAGGTAGTTGAGCTTGGGAGGGAAGACCGAGAGGAGCGTCGTTTCTTTGAGGATGTTGTGGGCTGGTCCTCCACTTGACTTTCCAACCCATCTTGGAAAGACTTCTGTGCATGGAGTAGGGCTGCTTGGGTGGAAAGCGGTGGAACTGGGCCAGTATCATCATCATTCTCCGACGCACTCGTCGGTGGTGCTGTGTAGTGCAAGGATGGAGCATAGTCTGCCATAGCAGGATTAGGTGGTACTGGCTGGGCTGAAGGCAAATTCTCAGTGGTCCCATGAGTCGTCCGGCTTTCTAGAAGACCTTGGCCTGAGCGAGAAGCAGTATGGCTGTCAAAGGCACGAGAGCCTGCAGTCGACGTAAAAGTACGCCGGGAAGGCTCATTGTACACATTTTCACGCTTTGCTGACTCCTTCGGGGATTCCTTTGAAGGTGTAAGCTGCCGTTCATGCGCTTGTTGAGCATTCTTGTCAGTCTCTGACGGTGCGGGTGGTTCTTCCTCCGCTTGCTTCATTGTCGATGATTTGGAGTTTTTCCTCCGTCGACGGAATTCAAATCTTGGCAACTGTGATGATGATGAAACAATACAGAACGAGGTGTCGGATTGAGCATTATGGGTAACGGAATGCGGAACGTTCTGTTGCCTGATAGGCGAAGGTCTGAAATGGCTTTCGGCGATAGACTCGGGACGGCGACTTTCTTGTAGCCGGTCGACCTGTGATGATGCTGGTTCCTTTGTGTCTGTCTTTTTCGAGCTTGAATGACTGGGACTGGGAACAAGGGACTGGTGTAGTCGGCTTCTTGTATCGGATAGACGGGTGGACACAGTAGTCGTTGGCGACGTTGGCGGATCGAAGTTTCCGAACCCAATCCTCCTACGGTCCCTCTTTAACCAGTTGTCATCTGTTGGCCTTGCGATGCTGCTGTTACGTAGTTCCGAATTCAACTGAGCGTCCCCGGTCCAAGGTACTGTTCTCTTGGGCGTGCCTTGTACGGATGCTGAATTCCGACTTTGCTTATCCTGCAATGGCTTGCGGGATTTCTGATGTTTCGAGATCACCGGCGAGCTCTCACTAGGGGCATCTGACGGAGCGACGGAGGTCTCCGTACGGCGGGACGACTCGTGCGACTCATGATGTAACTGCTTCCGTGGCCGCGGATCAGTCTCCTGCACTACTGGGCCACTGGAATCCTCAGCTGCACTGCGCGATTTCCGCTTTTTTGTCCACGGATTCACCCATCCTTGATCGAACGGTCCTTTGAGAGAGGCGGAGAGAATAAAGAGCGGGGCGCCTTGGAGATACGCTTCGGCCAATTTCTCAATCCTCTGACGCTGTGCATTGCGTGCATCCTCGCCCAACTCATCATCAGAGCCCAGCACATCATCTGAAACTATATCATCTGCGGAAGGCGAGCACACTTCGAGCGAAACCGGAGAGGTTGGTCGAGGGAATGGCATCGGGATGGCAGGAGGAGGGGAGGTAGGAAGGTGGACGGAGGTAGCTCAGCGGCAGTCACACGCAGCTGCATTGGGTGATTTGAGCAGCTGGGGGTGGTGAAATGGCGGGTGGGTAAATAGAAAAGGGGGTAAGATGCTCATCTCCAAAGCAGCAGACCGTCCACAGGCATCAACGCCGTCTCTTGAGCATCGCTGGCGGATACGTACTGACCTCGTTCATCGACGCGGAAAAAAGAGAAAACCACTTTACGCGCCGGGGTCAACGCGTGCTTATGTAAGCCAGTATAGCCCTCTATTCTGCACTCATTCTACGGAGAAATGCTTGAAATGCGATTGTGATGTCTCTCAAAGTCCGAAATCTTGCAGTTGTTTGTATGTGATTCTGATAAGGGAGTGGGATCTCGTGCCGGCGCAACTGCACTCTGTAAGCGGGATATGACCAGTCCGGTGTCCTCAACGCCGCGCAAAGCTAGTGTCAGACTAATTGGATCGAGTGAGCAAGTTTGTTTGCTTAATTCGACGGTATAAATCCCTCCACACTTCGTCCAAATCGCAACTGGTGTCGTCTTATGCCAGCTCAACGGTATGCTAGTGCGGAGTATGCGGTATCAGCGCTGGAGTACTCGCTGACTCGGTGTACGGGAGTACGTAGTAAAGCACTGTGAAATCAACAGAGGGATACTATAAGAGACTCAGCAGTCAGTAGTAAAGGAATACTCCAAATAATCTTTCCAACGCAGCTCTCAAGCCTCACAGTAGTGTACTGCACAATGAATGTATGATTGATGCCGGGGTTACCCCGACCTCCTTCACAAAAAAACAATTCCGCCGCCGCCTTCGACTTCCACTCCGCTACTTTCGCGCGCCTTCATACAGACCAAACCCCAGCCCACATCCTTATTATTTCCTCTTTACTTTACAATAACCGTTATCCCTGCAGATTTACCAGCTCGGATTTGAATGTGAGCCAATTCACCGGGTTCCAGGCCCATTTTCGACTCTGGTGCCATATACGACTACGAGCCGCGTTCACTACACCGCGGATGCTGTGAATGGGAAATTAACATGCAGAACCAAGCCAGCAGCCATGGGCAATAACAATCCCCCGTGGCTGGATAGCCTAACGGACGACTGGGAGCCCATCCCTGCTACTCCAAGTCCGGTTCCGGCTCGATCCATTAACCATTCCCGCGAATCCAGCCTTCAGGACTCTCCCAGTCGCATTCCTATTCCCGCGCGCCACCGTTCCGTTGAGCAGTCCCCCGCGGATTCCAAGAAGAAAGTTACCCGACCGTGCCATTTTATCAGGAGAGAACCGCCTACGCCCAAGAGCCGCACACCCCGGACGCCGGCGAAACTGCGATCCCCCGTGCCCAAGAACAACAGCCCCCGGTCTAGAAGCGGTACTAAGCCGACACGGACTCCGAAGTCTGGAACGAAAAAAAGTCCGAAATCCACAGCGTCATCGTCGAAGTCGAAACCGACGTCAGACAGTCCGAAACCGAATCCCGCTGCGCGTAAACAACTTCACGCAATAGACACGCGCTCGCCCTTGCGGTCGGTATCAAACGTTTCCAGCCAGTCTAGCCAGCCTAGTCAGCAAGGTACGGTGCAGGTCCGGCCGAAGGAGAACGACAAGACGCGAGAGTCGACCCCAGAATGGCGCAAGAGATTGGTACACGGTGAATTACCCACGGGCGAGCAACGCGATTTGTTTGCACCCATTGGGCTGGAGAGCGTCTTTAAGCCTCCCACTCCAGGCTCTGGAGCGACGCGACACGACCAGGTTCCCATGTTTAAGCAGTCGGCATATATATGGAATTTCAACGAGGGCAGTGACGTGAATATGCACAATCCCGACATGGAGAGTCCCGATGAGAACCGTCGGGAAAATACTGGTGATTCAAAGGGCAAGGATCCAGGTTCGCAGGATACAAAGCGCGACAATGTTAGCAGTCCACGCGCATCCCCAGGAGACGCGTTAAAGATCAGGAAGAGCGGGGAGGAACAAAATCGCAACGGAAATCATTCTTCTCTCAACGACATCAAACTACGCAGTGCAAGTGGCTTGGAAGATCTCCGGAATGAAGGTATTACCCCGATTACTTTCTCGCGGTCGAATACACTAGACGGCAACGGAACGTCCGAAATTATAAAGTCAGCTCTGAAGCAAGTCACAGACAAACTGGAGGGTCTCTCGTTGCGGACTGGAGACCGTCCCGGCTCCCGAGCGAGCGATAGCGCGCTGTTGCATCCGCAGAGCGAGGTTCCGGCAGAGATTTTACCGCCAGAAAATGAATTGCTGGACGTGACGAGCAACTCATTGCCTCAAGATCTTTCTATGGGCACATTGGGTGCTTTTGCCCGGTTCCGCCGCACAGATTTCTTGGGTGAAGGATCCCTTCTCAAGCCGCGCCTTACTCCGTCGCCCCTTCCTTCCCAGCGTCTCTCCCCACAGGCACTGTGGAATTCGCGCATCCGAAGCTCACCTCCATACTACCTCAAAACTAATACATTAACGGATCCACCCACACTACCAAGGCCATCGTCGGCCCAGAGCAAAAACTCTGCGACCGAGAGCTCGGAGAAGGGCAAGGTCGAGGGCATGCCGTCATCCGGCAGCCCATTGAAACTTTTTGGAAATCATGACACTTTCACGAATAACAAACTTCTGCGACGGATGAGTCAATTCGAGGAGACCTTTGGCCACCCGTCCGATGAGGACGAACCGGTGTCGCCTTCAGAGGAGGCTCGACGGAAGGGCGAAAACCGAAGCCTGTTAAGCGTGAAACTAGACAGACCATCTTCAAGGCGCTCGAGGATCAGAGCTACAAACAATCCTGAACTTAACCGGTTCGGAGATGGCGGTCTGGACCATTTTGATTTCTCTGATACGAGCCCTTATGAACCCAAGCTGCTGTACCACGAGATGCCAGATCCCGACTACCGCCCTTCTTCACGACGGAGATCTTCTGTTTCTCATCGGCAATATCGACGGACCTCACTTGACGACCATGACCATGAGCACTTTCCAGATGCTGATCACCGGTCGTCCGCAGACGACGATTCTTTGGACTACGACGAATTTAAACAGAGATCCACCATACGTTCAAGAGAGACGAACCCAAAAAGGCGCAGGACCATCCTGAAATCAGGTAGTCCAGATTATGAAGACGAGGATGGCCGAAACTTGCCAGGTCGGTCTGATAATCTTTCATTGCTGCAAAAAAGCTTGATGCAACACGGCATCAACGACAGTGACGAGAATCATCTGGATCAATCACGCTCGCAGCAAAGACCACGAACCCCGATAGCAAGCCATTCAAATTCCTCCACGCGAAAGAGATCCTCGTCGCACTGGCACCACCCTAATGATACCAACATTGGCGAAGAGTCGCCGTCAGATATGGCCATCCCTAGGGTCCAAGTGACTGGTGTCAATGATGAGGTGCGCAGAGGCTCAATCACCACTCAGGATTACCTCAACGAAGCCACAAGAGTCATGGACATGATCCGATCAAAGGGTAGAACCACAGGCGGGCTACCGAGTGTGGAAGAACTTGATGTGGAAGGCGAAGAAGACGACGACGATAGTTACGATGATGACGACGATGATGATTCCACTCGGGAAGAGTTCTCACGTCCCCCAAGCCGGGAAGGTGTCGATCTGCGTAAGCTCAGGGAGCCCAACGAGCCCAACCCGCGCGTCACAAGCTACTTGAGGAAGTTCCAAGAAAACGATGATCCAGAATTCGGAGTCAGTACATCTGTCGCATCACTCCACTTGGATGACGATCAGCAACCCGGATCGCCATCCCGAGACAGTCCTCCTGACTTTGAGGCTGGAGCTGAGCGCAACCAGAATGACGCTTTTAACGGCCAGCAGGAACGTAAGCATTCGGTAGGGTCAGTCGACGAGGAAGGCGGACATGTTACTATCGACTCACAAATGTCGTCTAAGAGCATTCCCACTGGCTCATCGCAGGGTTCATATGCGAAAGGCGTCCTGTCCTCCGACGTGGTGTCGCACTTGATTCCGGAACAAGTCAACGGTTTCACTTACGACCGCTTCAAACAGAAGTGGGTCAAGGAGAAAGTGAAACAAGCACCTGAGAAGCCAAAAGGCGACGATAGCGAGGATGATCCGTTCAGGGATATTCCAGATCTTAGTGTCGACGAATTGCAGGAGATGATGCGAATGCAGTCCAGTTCCCCGACTAAGACTGACGATGGCCGGCCGGCCGATGAAGCTGACGATTCCCAAAGTCCACTCAGTGCGAAACGGCCACGGACACGCGATGGAGCACCGTCGGTTATCGCCAGCACCGTTCAGTCGAAAGCATCCCGTTTTACCTCCACTGATCTCGACTCCGGCACCAGAGCGACATCGTGGGATACTGATCAACACAGAAACGGAGAATCCACCAGTGAAGTTGAGCACGAGATCAAATTGCATGAGGGACGTTTATCGAAACCTCCTCGCCGCCAGAGAGCTCCCAATCAGCAAGCTCGAGCGGTTACCGTTAACTTCTCGTCGCCTCCCGTCTCTCGTGTCGCATACAGCGATGACTACACCCCGACCAAATACATGGGCCGGGAGCTAGATCCAGGAGTTATCCAAGAGCAAGAAAGCCCGGCTGGCGACGCGCGACCTAATCCAGCGTCTCAGACTCCCGGCAGCCACTCAACTGGCGATAGCGACAACGGTGAAGATGAAGCGTTGTGTGTTATGCGACAAAACACCGAGGGAGCCGTATCTACGCCACTTAGTGGTTACCAAGAGAATTCTGTGGTCCGCTTCCAAGAGCCTGGGCATGACACGAGCTATAGTTTTAATCTCAGTCCCCTGCCCGACTTCACTGTGCATCAAATCGACAAACCGCTGCACCTTGAACTCAGCTATGTAGCCAACCGCACGAATCCGACCTCTCTACGCCAGGTACACGGAACATTTGCCTTGGCAACAGAGGACCTGGTCAGACACCTTACTGAGGTCGAGCCCTTCGAGCCCTACTGGGAGCACGTCCGGCGTCTGATCCTCCGCGACAAATGTCTCATCACCCTTCACAAGCTGCACGACTTCTGTCCTCGTCTAGAGGATCTCGACGTATCGGACAATGACATCGGTCAGCTTAGCGGCATCCCCGCCACTCTACGCACCCTCAGAATACAGCGTAACTGTCTCACGAGCTTAACGGCATGGGGTCACCTGGTCAATCTGCAGTATCTGGACGTTTCGGGCAACGAGCTGGAGAGCTTGGATGGCTTTGGAAACCTGATTCATCTCCGAGAGATTAAGGCGAATGACAATAACATTCGGAGTATCGAAGGGATTCGCGATCTGAATGGTCTCTTGAGTCTCAAGTTGAGTAACAACTCCCTGACATCGGTGGATTTTGAGGGAACTGAATTGTAAATCCTTTCGTTCTTTTTATTTGTTTCTACACTGTTGCTTACTGATTGGGTAGGACTCGTCTCAATGAATTGGACTTGAGCTATAACGTGCTTACGTTCGTTCGGAATCTGCACCTCTTGCCATCCGTCTCCGCGCTCAACCTAAGCTTCAATCGCCTCACTGAAGTTGATTTCCCAGCGCCTATGTACAACTTGCGCTCGTTGAAACTCTCGAATAATAACCTGGGTGCCCTCGATACTGCCGTTTTGCCTTCATTAACCCTTCTTTACGCTGATCAGAATGCGTTGTCGACAGTATCTGGGCTTGAACATTGTCACAAACTGGAGATCCTTTCTGTTCGGGAGCAGATGGTGTCAGAGAGAGACAGTGACAAGTACTTTGGCGTCGACCTGGGTCAAGTGAGGGATATCCGTAAGGTGTTCTTATCGTCGAACAAGTTGTCCACACAAAGTGTCTCTCCATCCGCTCCACTGCTAAGCTTGCAGCTGCTTGACATCGCATCTTGCAAGCTTGAGAGCTTGCCGGCGGAGTTCTCCCTGAAATTCCCCAACCTCAAGGTTCTCAACTTGAACTTCAACGCGTTGACGGGCGTTACTGAACTGGCGGGTATGAACTGTCTTTCCCGATTAGCAGTTGCCGGAAACCGCATTACGAGAATGCGAAGACTGTGTCAAGCCTTGAGCTACATAGGAAGGACGAGCAGAAACAGTGCCTGCTCGCTTCAAAAGGTCGACATCCGGGGTAACCCTCTGAGTGTCCGATTCTACCCACTACCCGTCACGGGAAGTGGCAAAACCACGGAGAACAAGAAGTTGCATGGCAAGGAAGCAGACCGCGAGCGCGAGCGTCCCCAGGCCAAAGCCGCCTTTGACCTCCCGGCTGCCCTGGCTGACATGGGCCAGAACCCAAGCGAGGGTATCCCTCACCCAGCACTATGGGGCGAGATAGACGGCGAGCTAGAGGACATGGATATGGACGCGGACGCAGACAAGGACCGCGATGTCGAAATCAACGACCCTTACACATTGCCCGCTGCAGATGCTGAGGCGGACATGAAGTATGTATCTCATTTGGACGAGTCAACGCGGCTACGACGAAGGATTGTTGAACTTATGATTTACGCTGGAACGGGCGGTTCAGTTAAACACCTGGACGGATTGGAGTTACGGCCGATGCTCGAAGAAGGATCGGATATGAATCATGCTTGGACGAAATTGGAGAAACTGGGCGTGTTGAGGAAAAAGGCGATTACGGACTAATTCTTTTTTCTTTTTTCTTTTTTCATTTTTCATTTTTCATTTTTCATTTCCACCTCTCATTCTTTTTCATTTCATTTCATTTTATCTGTTTTGAGCCTCGATGCATTGCATTGCACCTTTGCATTCCGTTCTTTTTCACTTTTTCTTTTTACTTGTTGGATGATATTGGCTGGCAGGATACTGGTTGGGTTGGGTTTTTCTCATTTTTTCATGACATACCTCTATACCTTTTTTCTTTTTGTGAATAGTGCAGACATGGAGTTTTGGCTATGCATACATGGGCCTATGGATTATTGGCTTTTGAATACAATTCAAATTCAACATTTTCTCTAATGCTTCTCACTTTCGTGAGGAACGATCAGTGGCACACACTGTGCTGCATTATGGCATATATAACAATGAGTAGAAACCAAAACGTCATGTATGGATGAGTCGTACGATATCTAAACAGCTGCAGAATTGACCTTTCAAGCCTCGAAGAGATCATGCTGCCCCCAATAGACGACGTTATACATCTGATTCCCGCTGACCAACCCCCTCAAAATAGATCATGCCGCCTACTATCAGAAGATAGAGTACCCAAGCTATGTATCGCGCGACATGATACGTTGTAGGTGACTCCCACACCCAGGCGTGGATCTCCAAGCATAAGGTTGAAATTATTGACACAGAGACTAGGAGCCATCGAGGCTTCCAGCGGAGTAAAACACCAGGTGCGCTTATCATCAAGAATAACCAGATGATAATAAATAGGATGTCGCGATTTGAGAGATCAGGATCAGTGCAAAATGAATAAATCACACATATTGACCCAAGGATCGAACCAATGGCTATGCATGGGTTGAGAAGGTCGATGCAATTGGCGAAGATATCATCTATACAATGCCAGTATGCCGCTGGAGAACAATCATGGTTCTCCCGGCGAGTTCTCAGTTCGAGAAGTCTCATTCGCAGAGCCTTGTGGAATTTATGCATTCCCGTATATACATCAGCCAGGGATGAGAGGATAATAGCTGTTGTGCCGTGAAATGTTTCGTCGAATGCTTCTAATCTCCGGAGGCCTAGCTTTAACCAGTTTTTTGCGATGATCAGATCACGGTTGTGCTCTGAAGAGCTGGCACGCAGCACTTTCAAATAGACACTATGGCCTCTCGACAGTGCCCAATCACTACCGTGCAGATAAGCTAGTCCAATACCGACAAAGTCCAGAGCGTAAGAGGGTTTCGTGACATCTGCAGCCTGGAGTTTCTCGGATATAAGCTGCATACTTCTTTTGGCATGCGGACGAAAGCGACAAAAATCATAGTAGTTTTGTGAATCAAGTAACTTTTGTGCATAATTTCCGACACAGCGAAAAGCGTAATGTGCTGTTATCGGCTTATGAAGAAGAATGTTGCTAAATTCATTGGTAAGCCACGAATGAACTGGTCTGGGCATGTTGTAGCCCCTTGATTCGTTCGTTTTATTCCGAGGATCCGAAGCGACTTCCACTAGTCCATAATTGCACAGAACCCTCATCGCTTCATGGAAGGTTATTGGATCATCTGCAAACTCCAACAACGAATACACCTCGTCGGGCTCGTGGAGCAATTCACGCCATAGGTTTTGGCTATCGAAAAAGACCCACACAGAGACAAGGCGAAATGAAAACTCATGTCTGTAGGCTATTTCCCGTAGAGAAATATTCCAGCTGATATAAAGCTTATTCTTGTATGCAGGAAGCTCAGGGGAATTCTCTTGAAGACGACGCCACTCCCGTCTGGATAATTCGAGGTATTCACGGCAGCTGATGGAGACCTGGCTCAGGTATCTCCCTGCAGTAGCTAGGGCCACCGGTAATCCGTCCATTTCTTCGACGACTTCGTGGATATGCAGATCTATAGAAGGCATTAGCACGTTTCATAAGATTATGAGGTAGACGCTGTACCATTGCCCAAGTCATGCCGCTCCGATGCAAGTGACATGATCTTAAGCCCATGTTCGGAGCCTATCCCTCTTATGCGAATCGACTCTCCAAGGTAAAACCCCGGCGAGGCAGTCGTGACGATTATATGCCCTTGTTGGGCATCAGGTAAAAAGGGTCGAAGTTGATTGTAATCGTCAAGTGGGGGGTATGCAGTGGCATCAAAGTTGTCATATACAAGCAGCCACCGATTATTCTTTGGGTAGTTCAGCCATTTCTTCATCACTTTCACAACGTCGCTGACATCAAGTGATTCGAATGCCCTTTTGTTCTGGGAAAAAGCGCGGTTATAAAGGCGCGTGTTGAATCTTTTCGCCGAATCCAACAGCTTGTTAAGGTACGAGATCTGATCATCGATGAAACCTTCTAACATCTCCACTGAAGAGTCCGCTAACAGAATACGATTCATCATGCTCACGAAACTAGTCTCCAGCGTCGATGGATCAGTAGCATCCAGCCAGAATACCGCTGCGTAATCATGCTGGTGCTGCAATGCGTATTTTACTGCGAGTTGAGTTTTGCCTATTCCAGCAAGTCCTTGGAGGACGACTGTTCCATTCGAGCCGTCGGAATGAAGCTTCTGATGGATGTCTGCGAGCTCTTGCTCTCGACCAACGAAGTTAGGAATATGTGGAATTCCGACCGTGCTGAACCGAATATTGAATTGTTCTATATTGATATTAGGCGTGTCCTCACACAGCTCGACATAAACGTACCGAGAGGGTTTCGATGATCAGTAAGCTGCATGTGCTTCACTGGCACCTCTGATAGTAGCTCCTTTGCATATGCAGCCGCTGTAACACCAGCATAACCCTGCCAGTCTTTGTTCTTGTGCGAGTCGGAATAATCACAGATCCCCCGTATTACAAGACAAGGGAAATGGTCCATGAGGCCAGCCGCTTCCATTTCAAAGCATAAAATACCCAGTTCCTGGGCCAGTTTATCGCGAGTTTGGCCGTCTTTCATGACTTGATTGCCAGATGCTATCGTGCCGCAATGCACCTTTGGCATAGTATATGATCGTTGCTCACGGATCACCAACTGACTGCGGTCACAATCGGAACAGTCAGGAAAGGCAGCATTGTGACGATAGGATGCGTCGAAAAGTTCATCTCGTTCGGGTCCAGGCGAGTGAAAGGAGGACAGGTCATTACTTGAGGTAACATCCCAAATAAGATCCTGAAGATCGGAATTCCCAGTCATGCGGTTGGACTCGATATGGGAAAGAGCAGTGAGCAGCTCTTGGGGTGGCAGATTCCTTGTTCCCGTGCGTTGCAACCGCCCTGATTCGACCGTTTTCCCATAATCGTACTGCACAACTCCCGGTAGCAAGCCAGTTGGCTGGCTGACTACGATATCTCCCAGTCGAATGTCTTCTGATGATGGAACTCCGCCTCCAATGCCTACCATCAAACCGAATTGGATTGATTGGAAAGTGGATGTCATCTGCTTGGCCACAATTGCTGCAGAGGTAGTCCCATAGACACCAGACGGGAGACACGCAACGGCCACATTGTGATTCGCGATCTTTCCAAGAACATAAGTGTTGGTGTCATGTCGCGGCTGTGAAAGTGACGGGTGGATTTCATCCAGCATCAGCTTGGCCGCCGCCATCTCCAGCGGGAGAGCGCAAATCCATCCGACGGTGTAGTCATTGTGTCCTCGCGTTTCGGTGGACATGGCTGTCCAGCCAATGTAGACCGGGCTAGTGATGAGTTGAATAAAACACACAGAAACACCTTGCGAGAGGAGAGAAAAGATGTCTGTGGCCGAGCGCAAGGCTGCGATTCCTTATCTTATTCAGGTGGTTTTGATGATCCTGGCTACTCTTGTTAGAATATAACGTGATTGGACACTGCGCATGCAGTATGAGTACAGGCTGAGCACTTGTATGCCCAACCACGCAGCGCCAAATTCGTGAGTATTTGCTCACGAATCCCACGCCAGCCACCGAGTATAAACACCGCTATCGCCAGTCCTATGGCCGAGACCAATATGGGGGAAGCCCCGGGCACACAAGAGTCCCCGACCGCTTCCCCCCGAGAGCCCACCACCCCGAAACGACCGCCCAAACGACCGAGGCCAGAAACCCCGAAGAAAGCTATAGAGCCCCCTGTTATCCCTCAGAACATGCCATGGACTGGACAATTCAATCAAAATACGCCTCCCGAATCCCCTCCCCACGGATCCCCCCAAAGCCAACTCGACCTGGAGCTCCAAAGCCACATCACAGCAGCAGTGGCTTCGCGCACAGCACAGATAAAGACTACAGGAGATGAAGTAATGGAGTTCGTCTCTATGGTTAACCTGAAAATCACCAATTGGGAAGAGAGGAGCCTTCAAGGAGCTGCCTCCTTGGGCAAGGACATCAGAACCTGGTCCTCAACTTCAGCTCGAACCTAGCGACGGGACTCCCTGCCAAAGCAGATAACCACCTATCCCCTTCCTCTAAGCACAATGGCTATGCCGAAGCTGCTAGAGCCTCACCCGGTGCCCCCAAGGCACCACTCAAGATACACAAGTCCGCTTACAATTCACGGCTACCTGAGAAGCCCCCCCCCCCGCATCTTCCTACGCCTCCCTGAGGGTCACCCTGCCCGCCGAGCCAGCCCGCACGCCGCTATGGATATACTGAGGAAACACCTGGACAAGACCCGCTCTGCAGCCGTGAAAGAAATTCAACAGGTGCCTTCTGGCCTAGCAATCTGGCCCAGAGATGGCCTGGGCCTCCACTTGCTCATGGAGCGCAAGGAGGCTCTAGAGAACTGTATCCAAGGAGCCAAGGCTGAGGCCGAACAGAATTGGGCCATATTCGCCCTCCCAAATGCCCCACAAGAGTATACTAGCTATGATAGGACCCAAGTTCCCATAACTGAACACATGGCCCTAGAGGAGTTCAAGCTCCAAACAGGCCTCTCCCCTCTGAAGTTCTACTGATCAAGCAAGAACCCGCCCTCTGGCACCCTTATCATGGCCGTCCCAGAGAACCAGGCCCAGATAGTCCCTAAGCAGGTCCACCTCTATGGGGAAAACATACAGATTAAGCGGAAGCCCTTCTGAACCCGTATAGAACAGTGCACGCAATGCTGGGATTACCATAACCCCTGGACCTGCACTCGCACTCCGAGATGCCGGATCTGCAGCAAGAGAGATCACAATGAAGAGACACATTCCTCTCCCAACAATGAGGATGCGACCTCAGACCCATGCTGTACCAATTGCTGTGGACCTTTCCCAGCAGACCACTCTAATTGCCCCACCAGACCTACCATACAACAGGGAGTCATCCAGTGATTATCCAGATCACAATTCATTGCAGTCAAAAAAGCTGGTGCATGCCAACATATGCTCCAAGACCAGTCTGCTACAGATGAGCCCCCCCCAGAAACTTGGGCTCCCCACTGACAAGAGAACAGCCTCATTCGTGTTAGATAGGCTATCTAGTCACCTACAGATCCTCCAACTCAATGTTGGCCGAAACTGGGAAGTGCACGAAACTGCGCTTCAACTAGCTTTTGAAAACAATTGCCATGCAGTGCTAATTCAGGAGCCCTGGATCTTTACAGACTGCTCCTGTCGAATATCTAAACACCATCCATCCTTTCACCAACTAGCCCTGATTGAAGACTGGTCAGCTAGACCCTGAGTCCTCACATACATACGGAAACATCCACATCTGAAAGCAGAACTAGTTCCTTTTGGACCACCATCCAGGGACATCCTAACTGTCCACATCAACACCCCCCAGAAGACAGCACTCCTGGTCAACATCTACAACGCTCCCCGTGGAGCAGTTGATGAGGGTCAAGGTTTGGAGTCTCTCATGACACAGACAACCTCATCTCTCCCCTGCCTAATAGCTGGAGATTTTAACCTTCAACACCCTATATGGCAGTCCTCTGCCTGACCCTCTCCAAGAGCAGAACCCTTTCTATCTTGGACAGAAACCCAAGACCTCACCCTAACACTCCCACCAGACTCACCGACCTGAGGACAAAACATGATTGACCTATCTTGGGCCAATAGCGCGCTGCTCAGCCTTGGGATATCCTCAGAAGTAGAGTTGCATTCGGCGCGGTTTGGCGCGGATGGAGGGTGCTCTCCATCCACGCCGCGTGGATTTTGGATGCTCAGGCTTGGATCCGCATCCGCGCCAAAATCCGCGTGGATTGGCGCGGATTAAGCCGCAAAAGCCGCAAGATTCCGCGCTATGCCTATTTAGGCATACACTAAACTAACTGCAGTTAAAGTCGGATTGGATTGGATTCGGATTCTCCAAAGTCCAAGCCGCAATGTATCAACCATCTCCGAAGCAAAAATAGCCATATCTTTATGTACATTC